GAGTGAATGAAAATGAAATGGTATTTTTTTTCCAATTAGTTTTTGGTGCAAAAGTGACTAATATTAATGTTGATTGAGTCAGACATGAGTTAATAGGATTGATGAGGTTTTGATGTCTCAATTTCAGGTTTGAACATAAGAGTTAAGGTGTCAAGTTCAAGCCTCTCCTAATGGGTCATTAGAGGTTTGCTTTTGCCTCTCCTCCTTACTCTCCGTTTTTGCTGATGGCTGTGTTTGTGTTTCTAAGATTTGGGAATGTCCCATTGTATTTTCAATGTGTTGGGTTAGTTTTGTTTGGGTTTTCTATGCCATTTGTGGAATACTTGATAGTTAGTTTAAATATTTTATTTTTCCCTTACTGCACTTGCTGCAGAAAATTTTATTTTTAAACTTTCAACCTGCTAAACAGAAATTTGATAAGAAAACTCAACCTGCTAAGCATAAATGAATTATGAAAAAAAAAAAACTAGTTTGTCTATGACACCGAATGATAGTATGCTTAATTGCATGCAAGTTCTTTTCTTGGATGAATATAATATATATATGGTCGTGGTGATAGTGTATGAAGATCATTTAGCATGATTTGAGGAAGATATTTGACATTCATCGTATTGGTTTCCAATTTTGTGTAGAACACCATTGAGTGTTATTCTTTATTACATTCTTGTCGAGCTTATCTGGGAAGCCTATCATGCCTAGTCGAACAAAGGTAACTTTGAAACTTTTTGACTTTACCCCTTTTGTATTTGTTGAGGGTTAATTATATTAAGACCCTCTCAATTATTAATCAATATTACTTTATCCCTTCATCTATCACTACAACAAAAAGTGTCTTTGGAGACGAAAACTAATGACGAAAATAAATTTTGTCACGAAAGACGTACCTTTTAGTGAAGAAAATAATTTTTTGTCTCCAAATGTACCATCTTTAGAGACAAAAGTAAAATTTTGTCACCAATCTACTTATATAATAAAAAAATTAGGTGACGAAATTATTTTTCGTCATTATTTATATTTTTTTTGTCACTAAAGATTTTCCCGCTAATTTTTCGGATGGTGCCAAATTTTCAGACTTTTGGTGAGGAAAAAATTGGTCACCAATAATAAAATTATTAATGACGAATATATTTTTGTCGCTAATAATTTTTAATATTTTAATATTATTTAGTGAGAAAACTATTTTTGTGGCTAATAATTTTATCTTTTAGTGAGGAAATAATTTTGTCACAAAATAAATGGTTTAGTTGCTAAAGGTTATGTGTCTATAATCAGAGCTTATGTCTATTATTGGTTTGGTTACATATTTCAGAAAAGATAAAGAGAGAGAGAGAGAGAGAGAGAGAGAGAAGACGAAGAGCTGAGGAGTCACTGTCCTCGTTGCCCCGTCCCCTGTTCATCCGCCGCTGCCTTACCCTTGCTCGTCCGCCGCTGTTGCCGAGGAGTGGTTGAGTTTGGATTCAAGAAGCTAGTATTCATTCAATAGATTCAATAGGTTCATCCTCCAAACTTAAAATATTAGGGTTTTTAATTCAAAAATTAGGATTTTCTATGCTTTGATTTGAGGCTTTTTACTTTCAAATCTAGTATTGGGTTAAAAATTAGGGTTTTGATTTGGGGATTTTTACATGATATTGAGAGCTCTGTCACCTGTCTCTTGTTGTTGAAGCTAGGGTTTTGATTGAAGGATTTCAATTGAACCAAAAAAAAATAATAAATAAATACTAATTTGATTTGGGAATTTCAATTGAAAAAAGTGCTTTGATTTTAGGGTGGAGTTAATACTGCTATTGATGGATTCTCATCCAATTAGATTTTATTTATGTCATTTATATAACCATGAATTGTTTAGTTGATAGCGACAGTAGCAGAGGTGATCTTGATGATGTGGGTGATGATATTTTTGAACTCTACTTAATGAACTTATCCTGATCTTCTCTGTTTCTTTTTAATTTTTTCAAATGTTCATCCCTCTCTTTTTAATAAATTATTCAAGGGTCTTTTTTTTTTTGGCTGTTGTTTATGTCTTTTCCTTGTCATTAGCAGTTGGTATCTTTACTAATTTGGCACTTAATATGTGCCTATGTTTATTTTTCCACATTTGCATGCAAAGGCTACTATATTTGTTCTTATTTGTGCTTCTATGTTGGAATGGATTGTACATAATTTATTATATTTGTGGACACAGTCCTCTAAATTAATTTTATTTATATCCCATTCACATGCCGTTTTTGTAAGGTGGAATTGGTTATTAGAGACACAAGATTTTGATGTTGACTTGTTTCTCAATCTTTCTTTTCCACCTATGCCACAGATGTGAGCAATTCTACTCAATAACTAATAAGAAATGAATGACCAGTTATTGCTTTGTTGTTCACAGCATTAACCCTCAACACTTGGAATGTACCATTCAAAAGTAGGAGTAATGTGGTGATTTGGAATTTTAGTTAATGAAGTGTTAATGGGGAATGGATGAAAAAAGTTTTTTCATTTTTTTTTTATAGTTCATAACACACCTGACTGGACAATGAGTAGTTTTTCCTACTGATTGAACTTTCTTGAGTGTTACAATTATTAAAATGTCTCTGTTAATTAAGTGAGAATTTTAAGTAGCTAAATCATGTGACTTAAGTTATTTACACTTGTAATGGCACTTTGTGCAAGACAACCACTGGTTTTGGAATGATCTTTATAATCTGAGGAGCCATCTTCTTAGAAGTATCTGTTGACGCTGCATATTCCATTTGGTGATTGATGTTGCACGATTACTTCACATTTAGAAGTTCAATAAGTTTTGATTATTTAGAGTGTTACTCTAGTTTCTTTTTCCATATTATTCAGTGATTCTCATTAGTTTGCAGATGTTATTTGCTGTGTTCTTGGAATCATGATTGGTACTGCTATAATGAAGATGCAGAGAAAAGAACTGAAGTTTAAAAAGAAGCAAGTAAAACATGTAGAAGAAGTTGCTAAGTTTGAAATACGTCGTAATAATATACTACAACAAGAACTATGTTGCTTAAGGCAGGATTTTGTTCAATTTTCGTATCGCCTGGATGTACTAAATAACTGTTTCTCACATCGGGGTGAAGGTAGTGATGACCTAGAAAAGGTTGGTCTCTCTCTCTCTCTCTCATTGTTTAAACTATTTGAACACACTTAACTTGAATTACATGTTTGTTGGTTATTTGATAGATATGATGGCATTTACTTATTAATAATAGTCTATAGCATACAGGTTTCTAGTGTTTGTTATTGGACTATATTTTGGTTGAGTTTACCCAGAAGCAATTTAACTGAAGTACATAGGTATTTGACTGATGGCTGTTTAGGTTATTAATTTGATGGGTGAGTAATCCAATTAGAGCTTATGTGTCTATAATTCATCACGGACTTGCTTGTATATATGTATTTTATTAAATGTATTTGGAGATATTTGTTTGGTTGAAGATTATAAATAATGCTATTCATAAGTAGCTGTTGTCAATCAATTTGTGTAGCCTAAGACTATATAGTTTCAAATTTAAATACTTGAGTTACGTGTTGAGTACTTGTTCACTGTATTTTCTGTTTTCTTTGCAAGTGATTTGTTTTCGATATCTGATGCTTTTTTCCCCCCTTCTTGAACCAGAGCATACATAAGTTTTTCCCTCTTGCTTTGTTGTTGCGTTGCTACGAGAGCTTGCAGGAGTAACTATACCACCTGAAAGAATCTATGGTCTGGGAACTAGGTGAGAACATTTTTAAGTATATATATTGTGTGTTATTACAAATGAAAATTACTTTGGCTGGTCTTTTAAGCACCCCTCTCAAATTTTGGATAATCAACTTATTTAAACTATTCTTATTTATATTACCAAACAATCTAACACTATCTCTTTTTCTTTTTGATTTTTTATGCGTATTTGTTTTTCTATATGTTTTTGATGAGAGCAAACGATGAGTCGGAGTTTTCTTTGATCATCGCCACACTCTGGACAACCAGTCAATCGCTCCAATTGTCTTTTTGAAAATTCGAGCATTTCGAGGTACCCATTCCATTCCAATTTCTCTTCACTATTTCTTTGATTTTGATACTCATATATACATAGTATATTCATATATATCCGTAAAATTGATTCAATCATTCTTCTCTTTTTAATAATGAATTAGAAATGCTTGCTAATCAGGTCCATAAAACTCTGTTGATATGTTTAATTATTCACTAATCATACTTAATCTCCATTTCAATAGCCAAGTTATCATTGCAAGAGGGGAAAAAAAGTTTAGTTGGTATCAATGTCAGATAGAAACATTGAAAATATGTTATTTTTTTGTTCCACAAAGTCTTGTAAGAATAAACCCTCAACAAAATAGAGGTAAATTTAATTCGTTGAAATCTGTTCCAATGCCTTCCTCCTCATTACTCGAAATGATATTAGTGAATTCTACCAATGTAGTTTAAATTTAATTCGTTGAAATAGAGGTAAATTTAATATCTAATTAAACAGATGTATTTTATTCAACCTGAATAACATGTGTCAACAACCTATAATTAAATAAGTTGGTTTGGTTGTTGTCTTTGGGTGCTAATATAACAGGTTTGATGTTGTTGGTTTAGGTATTAAATATTGTTTGGTGCTTTTAGCTTGACTCTAAAATAGAGGCAGCAGGGTGTAAGGCCTTACACATTGTAAAACATAACACCTTAAGCTTGAAAATAGGCGTTTTAAGGGCATAATTGTGAAATAGCCATCTTTTTTAACACTTAATCTTGAAAATTAGCATCCAGAGGGCAAAATTGTGAATTAGCCATAAGAATTGGTTCAAACACCTTAATAAGGAGAAAAGTAACTCATACAAACTCACAGAACAACCATGAGAGTCCTAGTTTCAGAATTAAGCTCAAACTTGTATTTTTTGAACACTTAGACTTCAAAATAGGCATTCGAAAGGAAAATTTGTCTAATAGCCATGAAAATGCCCAGGAATTGGTTTAAGCACCCTATTAAAGGATATAAATGACTTGTTGAAACTCATGGAATAAGCACAAGACTCTTAGTTTCAAAATTAATCTCAAACTTACGTGTATGAACACTTGACACTTAGAAATGAAATAAGTTTAGCTAATTCAATTAATTTTAACTGTATTTGTATATTATTTGTGAAGTTAATGTATTGATAAAATATTCAAGTTTTTATCTTTCAATCCATTGTGAACAACTAGCCTAAGAATTATTATTGAGAAATTTAGTTATTAGAGTTGCTAGATTATATTTTTGGAAAATGTTTAGTTAAAAGTCTCTCGCTAGCTTCAAGGTAAAATGTTTTATATATGTTGATTGTCAAAAATTTAGTTTCTTCTTAATAATGTTATATTTTCTTGTTTTTATTGATGTTTCAATTGTGTAGGAATAATCACTAGCTAATGTGAATAATATGATGCAAATGAAGACAAAACATCGATGTGGATCAAAATCAATCCCGGTCAGGGTATACAGCTCGGTGCGTTCTACTAATCGATTTTATTGGATTAGTAGGCTTTGTTAGTATATTATGTTTCTATGTTAATTTAGTAGAAATTTCTTAATCAACTAGGGTAGAATAAAAAAAAAAATTGACATTTAGGGGCGAAAGGTCACGGGAAAATAGTGAAATATGCATGTAAAGATCCGAGAAACATCACAAACACCTTGAGACGGAGCAACATAAGTTGTGCAAACTTATTTTAGTAGCGCGTGGCTCCCAATTTGCACTATTTTGAAATTTGCACTATTTCAACATGTGGGCATGAAACCAAGTAAAAAAAATGAACTTTTCCAACGCTTAAGCTTGAAAATAGGCCATCGGAGGGCTAAATCGTGTAACAGCCACGAGACGACCCGGGTAACACCACAAACACCTCGGGAGGGACCAATGTGAGTTGTGGAAACTTACGGAACTAGCATGAGACTCCCGGTTTGAATACTAAGTCGAAAAATGCACTTTTTCACACTTAAGCTTGAAAATAGGTCATCGGAGGCCAAAATCGTGCAACAGCCATGAGATGGCCCGGAGAACACCTCAAACACCTCGGGAGGGACCAATGTGAGTTGTGAAAACTTACGAAACTAGCACGGGACTCCCGGTTTGAAAACTAAGTCCAAAAATGCACTTTTTCACACATAAGCTTCAAAATAGGCCACCGGAGGCTAAAATCGTGCAACAGCCATGAGACGGCCTGGAGAACACCTCAAACACCTCGGAAGGGACCAATGTGAGTTGTGAAAACTTACGGAAGTAGCACGGGACTCCCGGGTTGAAAACTAAGTCCAAAAATTGCACTTTTTCACACTTAAGCTTCAAAATAGGCCACCAGAGGCTAAAATCGTGCAACAGCCACGAGACGGCCTGGGGAACACCTCAAACATGTCTTGAGGGACCAATGTGAGTTGTGGAAACTTACAGAACTAACATGGGACTTCCGGTTTGAAAACTAAGTCCAAAATTGCACTTTTTCACACTTAAGCTTCAAAATAGGCCACCGGAGGCCAAAATCATGCAACAGCCACGAGACGGCTCGGGGAACATGTCAAACACGTCGGGAGGGACCAATGTGAGTTGTGGAAACTTACAGAACTAGCACGGGACCCCCGATTTGAAAACTAAGTCCAAAAATGCACTTTTTCACACTTAAGCTTCAAAATAGGCCACCGAAGGCTAAAATCGTGCAACAACCACGAGACGGCCCGGAGAACCCCTCAAACACCTCGGGAGGGACCAATGTGAGTTGTGAAACTTACGGAACTAGCACGGGACTCTCGGTTTGAAAACTAAGTCGAAAATTGCACTTTTTCACACTTAGGCCTCGTTTGGCAAGAGGCTATTTTAGCCAATTAGTCAAAAAGTTACTAAATTAGTCAAAAAGCCAACAACCCATACCAAAAAGTCAAAGATTCTCTTTTCTCTCTACTTTTTGTACATCTTTTCATAATTAGCCAAAAAGTCATCCCAAACATACAAGTTTTTTTTACCTACCTTTTTAGCCAAATAGCCAAAAAGTTACTAAATTAGCCTGTTCCCAAACGAGGCCTTAAGCTTGAAAATAGGCCATCGGAGGCCAAAATCGTGCAACAGCGACGAGACGGCTTAGGGAAAACGTCAAACACGTCGGGAGGGACCAATGTGAGTTGTGGAAACTTACAGAACTAGCACGGGACTCCCGGTTTGAAAACTAAGTCCAAAATGCATTTTTTCACACTTAAGCTTCAAAATAGGCTACCGGAGGCTAAAATCGTGCAACAGCCACGAGACGGCCCAGAGAACACCTCAAACACCTCGGGAGGGACCAATGTGAGTTGTGGAAACTTACATAACTAGCACGGGACTCTCGGTTTGAAAACTAAGTCAAAAATTGTACTTTTTCACACTTAAGCTTAAAAATAGGTCATCGGAGGCAAAAATCGTGCAACAACCATGAGACGGCTCGGGGAACACGTCAAACACCTCGGGAGGGACCAATGTGAGTTTTGAAAACTTACAGAACTAGCATGGGACTCCCGGTTTGAAAACTAAGTAAAAAATTGCACTTTTTCACACTTAAGCTTAAAGGCAGGCCATCAGAGGCAAAAATCGTGCAACAACCACGAGACGGCGTGGGGAACACGTCAAACACCTCGGGAGGGACCAATGTGAGTTGTGAAAACTTACGGAACTAGCACAGGACTCCCGATTTGAAAACGAAGTCCAAAATTGCACTTTTTCACACTTAAGCTTGAAAATAGACCTTCGGGGGCCAAAATCGTGTAACAGCCACGGGATGGCCCGGGGAACACCTCATCAAACACGTCGGGAGGAACCAATGTAAGTTGTGGAAACTAATGGAACTTGCACCGGACTCTCGATTTGAAAACTAATTCAAAAAATGCATGTTAAATTGTATATTTTATGGATAAAATAATAATTGTCTAACTTACATTTTTTTTTTTTTTGTGTTTCATTTTTTTTGCATATTCGAGATTTGATATGGATATGTTTGGTAATTTGGAGGGCAGATGGTAGTTCATTTTGTGTTTTTGTTCATATTACCTTATATGTATTTTGGTTGCGTTGTAAATTTTATGTTTTTGTTGGTATTACAGGGCATGTTTGGTAATCCGCCCTTGATATTTTATTTTTGTTGATATTAATAGACATGTTTTTTGTTGGATATTAGGAGATGTGTTTGGTAATCCACATGCGGTTGATATTATATTTTTGTGGATATTAGTAGACATTTTTTTTTGTGGATATTAAGAGACATGTTTATAATCCACATGTAGTTCATATTGTATTTTTGTGGATAGTGCTGACATTCGATTGTGATGTTTATGAAAATGAACAGATTTTTGTATTGATTTGTAATAGATATTTTATTGAACAAGTTATTGAAATGCGCAGGGAATTGTTACTGAAAAGAAAAAAATTCGAAAGAAAATAGTACCCTCATTTTCAAATTTTTTAATTTTTATTAGTGACGAAATAAAAAATGTCGTTATTAGTTTTCAAAAAACATGACGAATAATTTTGTCACTAATGATATAATACGAAACAAATAATTTCATCACATTTGCTGAATATTTCGTCGCTAAATTGAAATATTTGGTGACAAAATGTTTTGTCATTGAATAATTTTCTTTTTTGCTCATTTTAGTGACGAATTTTTTTGTCAACTTAATCCATATCATTGGTGAGGAAAACTTTCGTCACTAAAATATATTTGGTGACGAAATATTTCATCGCCAAAAACAATTAAAATAAAATATTATTTAGTTTTGGTGACGAAATTGATGTTTTGGAGGATGAAAAATTCAACATTTGGTGACGAAATATTTCGTCGCCAAAAATGAAAAATAGGCGACGAAACTGTTTTTCGTCACTAGGTACTTTTAGTGACGACGTATAGGCCACGAACGTGGTGACAAATTTTTTTCGTCGCAGATCACTTTAGTGACGAAAATTTGATGTTTGGAGACAAAATCAGTCTGTCACCAAAGGCCTTTTTTGTTGTAGTGGACCAGTCTCGACGGCGACCCAGACGGTGAACACACTCGTAACCCTGCGACGACCATAGCTCCACCGCTCCAGTCCTAATATTCTACGCTTCGTGAACCATAGCTCCATCGCGACGACCACCATCGGTTGAGCAAAGAAATTTCTTGACGAACCAGGTTGGTCTTTGAATGTCTGAAATTAGGAAGTTAGGATTGTGTGATTGAGATTGAGATTTGGATTTGGAATTGAGATTGAGAAGTTAGGGTTCTGTGAAGGTCTGAAAAAATTTAGGGCTTTTAGATTTGGAACTTCAAAATTAGGGTTTTGATTTGGGATTCCAACGGCTAAAATTTAGGGCTTTGAAACGTCTGAAAAAATTTAGGACTTTTAGATTTGGAATTTCAAAATTAAGGCTTTGATTTGGGATGCTAACAGCTAAAAAATTAGGGCTTTCATTTGGGTTTCTTTTTATTCTTCTTCTTCTTCTTCGTCTTCTTCATCTTTTTTCCATCTCTCTCCATATGTAATTACCTTTGTAATTTTCTGTCTTAAATTCCAGAGACAACTAATTCATGGAAATATGATACGAAATATGAACAATCTGAATACCAATTCTTTAAAACAGTAGGCAATTTTTGATAAATCAGTAGCCAATTCATGAAATATGCTCCATGTTTTTGATGAATCAGTAGCCAATGAATGAGATATGCTCCCTGTTTTTGATGAATTAGTAACCAATTTTTGATAAATCAGTAGCCAATTCATGAAATATGCTCCCTGTTTTGGATGAATCAGTAGCCAATTTTTCTTTTTATTATTTTTTTAGCTCATTACTTAATTGCCTCAAATTTGAACAATCTGAACACCACTTGAACAGTGTTGATGTTTACTACTCAAGTGACAATGTAGACTAATGGACTTGAGGTTAGATCATCATATCATCAAAAAAAAAAAAAAAAAAAAAATATTAATAACCAACATTGTTTTATGAGTAGTGCTATACAATTAAGGTTGTCAAAAAAAAATTTCTGTTGGTTGACCTTTGCAACAAGCCAAAAAAAAAAAAATAATAATGTAGATAGAATAATGTGGACAGAAACCTTGTAACTCATTCTCAAATGTACCTACATTGCCAAAATAATGTAGACAGAAAAATTACAGAGAATTTAAAATATAAAATGCATATCATATGAATGGTAATCACTTGTTTCTATGGGATAGAGCACTGATATCATATGAATGCATAATAGCTTGTTCATATCATATGAATGATCATATACAAACTGTGTTAGTATTGGTCATGGAAATATGAATGATCATATACAAACTGTGTTAGTATTGAACTGCATTGTTAACCACAGTGTTGCTGATTCTGTTTTCAAGCTGAACTACACTTCAATGCTGAACTACATTCTGTTTTCAAGCTGAAATTCAATTGATGTACACACAGTGTTGCTGATT